CCTGTCCAGGTCCCTCTGGATCCCTCTGGTGCGGATTCTATCACCGCACCACACAGCTTGGTGTTGTCAGCAAACTTGCTGAGTGGGAAAGTTCTAGAAGCAAACAGCCAGTGGCCTGTAAAATCTCTGGTAGCCAACCTTAAGAGCAGTTTAAGAGCTGGGTCTTGCCACTGGGATGTGAAACATCTCTCTGACCGTTTTTCATCGACAAAACTTGCAGTAGGTGATTATTTTATGCATCTTTTGTAGCATAATAATGGAGAGACTAATAACAACACTGCTAAGAAAGGCTGTTTGGTTCTTAGTCTCTCCAGGAAGGGTATTGTTTTGTCAGGTAACAATGACTGTTGTTATCCTGAATTCTGTTTTCCAGGAACGTTTGGAGAAGCAGATAACAAATCCATTATGCCTTGTGGCGGATTTCAGCAAGCCTGAGGTAATTAGCATGTGGGGATTTGGGCGTGAGTGCTTTCCTGTTAAAACCACATGGAATGTAATCTGCACCTTTATGTGCAGAACAGCATCGTTTCCTAACTCTGGTCTGTAGTAGTTACGTAAGGGTTTGAAGTGTGAAAGAAGAGAGAGATGTCGGTTTGTGTGGTCACACAGAATACACTTTGTGGTTTAGATCACCGTGGAGGCTTGTTATCTATGATTTGAATCATCAAATGCCAGAATGGTTTGGGTTGGAAGGGACCTTAAAGCCCATCTAGTTCCACCCCCCCTGCCATGGGCAGGGACACCTTCCACTAGACCAGGTTGCTCCAAGCCTCATCCAGCCTGGCCTTGGACATTCCCAGGGATGGGGCATCCACAGCTTCTCTGGGCAACCTGTGCCAGTGCCTCCCCACCCTCTCCAGGAAGAATTTCTTCCTGACATCTAATCTAAACCTCCCCACTTTCAATTTAAACCCGTTACCCCTTGTCCTGTCACTACAGGCTCTTGTAAAAATCCCCCCCAGCTTCCTTGTAGCCCCTTCAGGTACTGGAAGGTGCTAGAAGAGTTCAAATAGTTGTTTTAGTTTCCTTCACTTCTCTTGAGTTTGTAACTGATGGCAGCTATTGTTCTCTCAACAGGCACCTTTGCAGATCCATGTTGCCATGCTCGCCTTGAACCGCTTCCAGGAGAGCTTCGGTCGCGGACCGAACATTGGGTAACGCAGCGGTCTTGTGCTTGCTGAGCCTTTCTCCCCTTAGTGTAGCTACTGGTTTGATGTACAGCAGGGCATCTTCTCTGTCCGCTACTTTGTAAGCGCCCCAGAACCAAAAAGTTGAAATCTAGATGAAAACTGTTGCCTAGTACACGTCTGAGGTTGTAACAGGGCTTTCCCCATGCAGCGATGGCACTTCCTGGGCCCAGGTAGACAGAAACTGCTTCTGGAGGAAGCCTGCTCTCTTGTGGGGTTAATCTGGACAAGTTGTTTCGGTGATTCCTGAATTACCCTGCAGTTTAGGCATTTAAAAAAGAAAACCAAAATAGTTCTTGAAGGATCTGTTTTTCAGTATATTTTTTCCAGATGTTGTTCTTGATGTGGATCATTTTGAGTTAAATAAGACAAAACTAGTTAAAAGTCTAAATCTGAAGACTGGGCTTGCACGTGGGTTTTTCCAAGAAGACTCCTGTTCTTGAGCAAGCAGTAACATTTAGAAACGCACCTTTAGTGCTGGCTCTGACAGCCAATATAAATTTCCACACACTTCCTGCTCTACCCAGTGCTGTTTTCCTCTGTTGATCGTGTTTGTAGAAGAAGTCTGGGATGTTTAAGTGATCGTTACTGTTTCTACCTTGGTGTCTAGATGCCCTCAAGATGCTGAGGAAATGCTGAAAATAGCCGTGTCTATAAGTGAAACGCTGGAAACCAGAGTGAGTGGGGAATCGCCGTCATTCTGAGTCGTTTCTGATACGCTCGTTGACTCGCCTAAAGGTCTGGCGTTGGTTGTGGGTCCTCGTTCTGGTCTGTCCATCTCGAGATGGATCAGCTGAAAGCCGTGCGCGGAAGGAGAGCGGCGTTTCGGCACGGGTTCGTCTCAGCACGCGCTGACGCGAAGGCTGAATCCCGTTGCTGTGTGAACCCCGTTTTCAGGGAGACGCACACTGCGAGTACGGGGTGTGCAGTGGATCCGCCTTGGCTAGGAGCCTTCTTTGTGTAACCTGTGTGTCTCTGACTGAAGAACAACGACCTATGGAGGGTTGAGTTGTCACTGTGTCCCTTTTTTTTCCCCAGCCGCAGGTGAATGGCGATGTAGTGAAGTGGCTGTCTAGGACTGCTCAGGGATTTCTAGCTCCTCTGGCTGCAGCGGTGGGCGGTGTTGCTAGCCAGGAAGTCCTGAAAGCAGTAACAGGAAAATTTTCTCCGTTGCAGCAGTGGGTAAGGCTGTCTTTGGGTTTGGATCTTCATGTTGACAGTGGTGTAACGAACGTATGGCTGTGTGTAAATGCTGTGTGATCACAACAGCCTGAACGACCTCTGTAACAGGGAAAAAGAAAGACTTGAGACTGAATTTAGGAAGAAATGTAATGGTTTTGTGTGTACAGTAGAAGTGCAGCCAGTTAAAATTTTTGTATTTGTGGTTCAGACATCACGTTGGTTTTTTGCCCACGAGCGAGGAGAGCGTTTGCCTGGCCGTGCCGGGCTGTGGGGGTGGATACGGTCCAGCTGTACCTAGAGCAGCGCTTGCCGGCTCTCAGGCTGTCAGAATAAAATCAGGTGTAAAATCTTCTCAGTCTAACCTTGGAGGGGTAACGTGCCTGTCAGAAGCACAAAAAAAAACCTTACAACTCACGTTTCAGCGAGGGTTTTTTCCCCCTCCGTGTCCAGGTGCCTTTTCCTGTCCACTAGAATTGTGAACTGGAGGGAACTGAATGCTGTGTTTACCACCCACTGACAGTAAAAACTTAGTGCTTCCAGCTTTCTAGATTCCGTTGTACGTGGAAAATACTGAAAATAACACGAATGTTTTCCACAGGTTTTTATTGCGTGTTCTTTCTTGGTTTTTTTACAGCTGTACATAGATATGTTAGACATTGTAACACCCCTGGAAAAGATGGGCTCTGAAGAATTCCTCCCACGGTAAATACAACTGCAGGCTGCTGCTTTACGTGCTCTTGGCACCCGAGTCTCAAGCAGGCACAGCTGATGCCTTTTGAAGTTAGTTCCACGCTGTTGGCTCGGAGGGACGGGTTTGGGGTTGAGGTGGTGTGTCCTGCTCGAGCATGGGAGGAATGGGAATTACAGGGGGCTTGGGCTGACGTTCTTCACGTCACAGTGCAGTTTGGCATCCGTGATCCTATCGTGATAAACGGCCACTTACTAGTCTCCTGGTTTTGTCTCCTGTGCCTGCGTAGGGGAGACAGGTATGATGCCTTGCGGGCTTGTGTTGGCGATTCCCTGTGCCAGAAGCTGCACGATTTGAATGTTTTCTTGGTGAGTATCACTGACACTTAGACCTTTGCAAATGCTTTGTCGGTACAGCTAACACCCACTGTCCTCAGAATAACGAGAGCAGCCCTGATGATGTGTGTCACTGCGGTATAAATGGCCCAGAATTCTAACAGGACTTTGGTTTCTGACTCTCAAAATGTCATTTTGCCAGGTTGGCTGTGGAGCCATAGGCTGCGAAATGCTGAAGAACTTTGCGCTTCTTGGTGTTGGTGCTGGGCAAGACAAGGGATTGGTAAGTCACCCGTTACCCTTCCTTTGCTTCTGAAAAAGCAGTGTGACAAGGAGTAGTTAAATAATTACGCTAATTTAAAATGCTAAAAGTCTAAGCTTTATTTCAAGTAGGTCACCGCACAGAGCAGAAGTAGTGTGCAATTAGGGACAGAACACACTTGGCCTTGCTGTATTTTGATTTTAAACTGCAGCCTAATCAGTCAGTGTAGGCAGAGCTGTTAGCTGCAGTGGGTGCCAGCGGGAGGGCTTTGGCTTGAGAAGCTTCTGTAGAGATTTCATCGCGATTGTTGCTCCGTGCTACACTCGAATTGTAACTCCGGCTGTTGCTTTTACCCCTTCTGACCTAGGTTACAATTACAGATCCTGACTTGATAGAGAAATCCAACCTGAACAGGCAGTTCCTTTTTCGACCTCATCACATACAGGTAGGCTTTCTCCTTCAGTAAACTTCCTGGACCAT